TCCAACCTCAAAGAAAGGCAATGCCAAAGAATGCTCAAACTACCACACAATTGCAGTTATCTAACACGCTAGCAAAGTAATGCTCAAAATTCTCCAAGTTAGGCTTCAATAGTACGTGAACCGTGTATTTCCAGATGTTCAAGCTGGATTTAGAAAAGACTGAGGAACCAGAGTTAAATTGCCAATATCTGTTGGATCATCAAAAAAGCAAGAGTTCCAGAAAAACATCTATTTCTGTTTTGTGGACTACACCAAAACCTTTGACTGTGTGGATCACGCACTCTTGTACCACCAGCGAAATGGTGGTGAGGGAAGATGTTATGGGACTGCTAAAGCTTCCTTCAAGTTCATTTGTTCCTGCTTCCTCTGTGCCTTATCTCCCTGCATTAAAACTGTGGGTTTCTACCGGAAGCCATGACCTGAGTTCCAAGAACGGTCCCAGCTCCTTCTTCCCACTTCTTTATCTTCCCTTTTTAACCCCAAACACCAAACCCACCCAATAGGCATCACTCCCAGCTGCCTCCCCTTTCTCTCTCCACCTCTGTCCCTTAAGTCCAGCTGCCCTGCTCCGTCCAAATTGCTTTGACCTGTGAAGTCGACTGGAAGTTCTCGGCTCTGCTCCCTCCCACCTTAGCCCAGCCCCAGCACCCAACTCTGCACCTGACCAGCCTCACCTCCTACTCTTTCCCCTCCCTGTCAAATCCTGTCTCCCCCTCTTCTCACCAATCCATCCTTCAGTGACTGCTTTTCTGACAATTAACGCGCAACTTTGTTTTTACAGCTTGCAAAGTACAGTTGCCTTTATGCATGTACAAACATTCTTACCAAGTCTCGTTTAGAAGTTAGTTTTTCCTCCCTGCTGGATCTCTCTTCATCTCCTGCCTAAACTACTGCTGGTTTGGGGTGGGGGCTGGGGGCGGATGTGGGAGTTTTGCTTGTATGTTTTGAGTTTGTTTGTCTGTTTGTCTTTTTCTTTGCCTTCAATACACCTGAGTTCTGCCTGCCTTAAAAAAAAAAAAAAATTGGCCACACTATGTGGCATGCAGTATCTTAGTTCCCCAATCAGGGATCAAACCCTGGCCCTCTGCAGTGGAAGCATGGAGTCTTAACCACTGGATTGCCAGGGAAGTCCCCTGCCACTGTTCCTTTAACCAACCTACATTAAGGTCTTTCTCCATCTTCCTGACAAATTGCTCCTTATAAGACCTCACTTCCTTTCCTCCAAAAATTCTAATTAAACCCTCTATAGTCTCTTCTTTCTCAACATTGAGAGCCTGTTAATAATCATTGGAATGTGACTCCCGGATGGACTTCCCTGGTAGCCCAGTGGTTAAGAAGTCACCTGCCAGTGCAGGGAACATGGGTTCAGTCTCTGGCTGGGGAAGATCCCACATGCTTCAGAGCAACTAAGCCCATGCACCCCAACTGCTGAGCCTGTGCTCTAGAGCCTGAGAGCCTCAACTACTGAGCCCCACGCCGTAACTAATGAAGCCCGCACCTAGAGCTGGTGGACCACAGCAAAGAGGAGCCCCTGCTTGCCACAACTAGAGAAGGCCCATATTGTAGCAGTGATGACACAGTCTCACTACGAGCTCAGGTAACAGTCACATATATCCCAGCCATTGGCTAGCCTGGCCCCTGTGGGCACTTGGGGGTGGGGTGGCTGGACATGCATAAAGAGAAATCGATGTTCAATAGAATAAAAATGTGGGACTTAGGGGCAACAGGAAGAGAAGCTGCATGCATCACTGCTGACCATGGAGCAGGCTTAGACACCCCCTTTTCCTTTTTTTTTAATTAATTTTTTATTTGAGTATAGTTGTTAGTTTCCACAGCAAAATGAATCAGTTACACATGTACATACATCTGCTCTTTTTTAGGTTCTGTTCCCTTACAGGTCATAACAGAGTATTGAGTAGAGTTCCCTGTGCCTGACAGAGACAGTCCTTTCTCTACCACCAGAGAGTTACCTTGGAAAGAGGCACCCCAGAGAACCCTGAATTCTGCTCTGGGAAGCCCGCAATCAGGCAGAGAAGTGTATTTCTGCAGCTCTGGGTACACGCACCACTTCACTTTGTATTTTGGTGACTCATACATTGGTTTAATATCCCCACCAGACTGCAAACTTCTAGAATACTAGTGCAGTGTCACTATCATATCCTCCAAAACAAGCACAATCCCTGATACATAATATATCATGATCAATGGCTGTGAATAAATAAGTTCTGCCATAATGCTGATGTGACTCAATAAATTAAGCAAGATCAATGGAAGGACATTTGTCACCCTTCTGGTGTAAATAACTTTGCTGCAGCACAAAGATAAGAATTAAGCCTCTCTGGGGAAGAAATATGGTTATACATATTTTCTATTGAGATATATCATTGATATAAGTTACAGATCTATAGTGATGCATGATTTTTAAAGGGTCTACTCCATTTATAGTTATGAAGTATTGGCTATATTCCCTGGGTTGTGCAATATAACCTTGTGGCTTATTTTATACATAATAGTTTGTACCTTTTACTCCCCACCACTGCATTCCCTCTCTCCTTCCCTCTCCCCACTGTGACCACTAGTGTGTTCTTTGTATCTGTGAGTTTGTTTCTTTCATGTTACATTCCCCAGTTTGTTGTATTTTTTAGATTCCACATATAAATGTTGTATTTTTTTAATTTCACATACAAATATCATACAGTATTTGTATTTCTCTGTCCAGTTTATTTTACTTAGCATAATACTCTCTAAGTCCATTCATGTGGTTGCAGATGGCAAAATTCCGTTCTTTTTTATGGCTGAGTATTTTCCCATTTTGTATATCTACACACACACACACACACACACACACACACACACATCCCACATCTTCTTAACCCATTCACCTGTTGATGGACACTTAGATTGCTTCCATATCTTGGCAGTTATAAATGATGTTTTTATGTATATGTATGTATGTGTACATATAAATATTAATTCACCTGTCAGAATCTGTACTAATTAAACAATCCAAAAGACATTTGCACAAAAATCTTCATTTAAATATTTCTTAACCTAGCAAAATTTTCAAAGTATTCAGCATGTCTAGAAATATAGGAATGAACTATTTAGCTATTAAGATGATGCTTATCCATTCTGTGTAGCAGAATTGTAAATGTCAGTGATATGATAATTAAGCTTTTTAAAGTAGTACACATAATTTCACATCAACCACATCTGGCTTTTCTAGATGACAAGGAACCAACTAAGTCTCTTTTATCGGCAAGGACTTTATTGTAAGGACACACGGGGAAATGGGGAGGAGGAATCAATACCGTCTGCAGCAAACTCAGGCACCGCACAGAACCGGGGCCTACAGGCTGTTCAGACGGTCACCTGCTCATTCTCGGTAGTTGCGGGCGGGCTCCCCTCTGTGCAGTCTGCCATTGGTGCATCAGCCTTGAAGCCACTGCTAACCCATGACACCCTCAGCTTCGTGGCTTCTGTCACCTAATGCGTTTTGCTGGTTGATTTCTGCCTGGCCCCGGTTTTCTGTTTGTCTCACATTTGAACTCCCCAAGAAAGGAGATCTAGATGCTTCACTTCCCTACTGTTCCATTCTTCAGAGCTCTCAGACCAGACCACCTCTGTAATCCCAGTGGTCAGCATATAAACTGTGCTTCCAAAAAGTGCCCAAACCTGATCCCATCAATTTGGTCCAAAAAGTAGTCACACAATATGAATGTAGCAGGTAATTCAAACATATCAGCCACCTATCCAATACAATCTATAATTTTGAATCATGTTTAAAATAATAAATAAAAATATATACATAGGAAAGGGCTTCCCATGTGGTGCTAATGGTAAGGAACTCATCTGCTAATGCAGGAGATGTAAGAGACACTGGTTCCATTCCTGGGTTGGGAAGATCCCCTGAAGGAGGGCATGACAACCCACTCCAGTATTCTTGCCTGGAGAATCTCATGGACAGAAGAGCCTGGTGGGCTACAGTCCATAGGGTCAAAAAGAGTTGGATATGACTGGAGCGACTTAGCACATACACACACACATACATACGAAAACAGATAGGAAAGAGATAAATCCATCATAATTGGGTTAGGGTGGAAGGATTATAAGTGATTACTTTTCTCCATTTTGCACTTTTCATTTAACAATACTGTAATTGATTTTTAGTTTTCAAATCTTTTTTCAAAGTACTCTTCAAACTATAGGAGTCATACAGCCAAGCTACTAAGTTCAGTCTCTCCCCAGAACTTGCCTTGGAATATAGAGCAAAGTCACAATCATTAAAGTCTGTGGGTGCTCTTGCTCAGCAGGTAGAGTATTACTTCTGTCTTATCTTGCCAGGTGAAGGCCATAATTGTTGTAGGTTGTGAAAGCACCTTGAAGGCAAAAGTGCCTGTTATTATTCTGAAAACGTCTTTTAAATTGTTATAATAGCATATATCACATGTGCAGAACATAGAACCTTATGACTAGCTTGGGCATAGAAAGACGTTCTTTATCCACAAGCCAAGTATTTGAAAATACCACCCACTCAATTGGCAGACACCTTCAGGGCTGGAGAGGAACTACCAGCATAGTTTTGTGAAACTGAGCCACCCATGGCTTAACTTTGATCTCCTCTGTGTACATCGTTCTTTCAGCTCCTCTGCCACAAACATACAATTACTAAGTATTATTGCTTGAAAACAACTCTAATTACTACAAGGACTGCCCAAGGTGAAAAAGGAGAAATCGAATTATCAGATGGACTGGTGTCAGAGTTGGACAGTCTGTTTGTATCTCGAAAAGACACAATCCTTTCGTCCCCAGCCCTAACTTGGGGGCGCACAGGCTGCGGGAGGAGACCCCCAAAGCGGGAGGCTGCACCAGTGCAGGGCAGTAGACAGGTCCAGCATTGGGGAAACAGAGATGTCGAATCCTCCCGCCCTCCTAGAGAGGACCCGGAAGCGCGGCGCAGTCCCGGAAGGCGAGGTGCTGACACACTTCCGGCCTTTGTGACTCATTGTGTCTGTGTCGAGGCGTCAGGAGGGCCTGGAGCTGAGCGCGGCGCCCTTCGGCCGGCCTGAGCCCCAGAGTCAACTCCCTTTTCTCGCCCAGCGCCCCCAGCCGCTCCCGGGGCTCACGGTGAGATTTGGGGCCGGCCTCTGAGGGAGCGGGCGGGGCCGCAGGGTTGTGTGCGTGGGGGTGGGCTCTGCAGCTGCGAACCCGGGGTCCTCTCCTGGCGGCCCGGGCGCCGCGAGCAGCGAGTCCGTGCCCCTGTCCCCTCCTCAGGCCGGGCCGTAGGCAGCGCCGTCCCCCAGGGTAGCCGACTCCGCCCCATCGGGGGCCCAGGCAGGGACAGGGCCTCGGACCTTGGCAGGAGGTCCTGGGAGACCTGGGGGAACGGCTGTCTGCGGGCCCCTTCCGGGCCCTCACCTGCAACGTCTTCGTCTTCGCTTGGTGTTTTTGAGAACCGGGTCGCTAGCGAACCGACCTCTGTTGGTTTTTTTTCCTTCCCTGCTTTAGTCGCCATTTGCTTTTATTCCAGTGAGAGGTTTTTGGTTTTTTTTTAATTTTCGGGGTCCTTGAAAGATCTCAGGTGAAAAATGCGGAAGGCTGAGAAACGGGCACGTTTCAAGATGCCTAGTATGTGTTTCCAGATCACCTGCTTCTCCTCACCCTGTCCCCCGAGCGGTGATTAAAGAGCGTGTGAAGCCTAGTCTGAGTGGATGGAGAAGTGATTCTGGTCTAAGAGAGATGATACGTACGTCTCACTCTGTCTCAGCTTTAGGGCATATTTCGAAGGCTTTTGAAAACAAGCCGTCCGGAAGATGAGGTGCGTTTTTTATTTCTGGGTAGTAGTTACTCTGCCTGACTTGGAAGGGTGAAGAGTGAAAGGAACTTGTGGCAATTGCACCGGACCGTTAGGAGACTGATGAACTGAGTGACCTTGGATAAGACGACACTTCTGCCAACTCTGAGTTCTGTCATCCATCAGAGTAGGTTTTCTCCAAAGGCCCCTCCAACTTTGAGATTATTTGCTTTAGTCATTGTAATTGAAAAATTCAGCTACAGTTCAGCCTGACACTGCCCCCTGCCCTCCCCTTCCTACAGTGCCTCCAGTACACAATAAGATACTTTCATTATAGAGAGTGGCTGTTACATGGCCTGAGACCAAAGAAAGCATTTATTGTACAGGCCATTGCCAGGCGGATTGGAGGTGGTCAATAAATACTTGTTGAATTGAATTGTGGAGGATTCATTGTAACCAGTCAACAAAGCCCTGTTACTGTATTTGCCAGCCACATGTGGAGAAATAGCATTATTACTTAGGGAGCCATGATGATAAATTGCCCCAGAATGTTTCTCCAAGTTTGTATTGTCTCTGAATTAATATGCATGATTCTTGTTCATTATTTCAGGCTGTTTTCACCAGTCTTAAAATACAAACAGGAAGGCTCACTAATCAATACCTTAGGCTTTTGCTGATTCTCTGCTTGATCTAAGCTTTTAAATTTTTGCTAACTTTATACTGTATCTAAATACAGATGAGTGTTATGTTAAATCTTTCTTTTTTATTCTGAGTATCAGTATTCTTTTGGAATTCTCAGTATACCTAGTTATCTTTTTTTTTCCCCTAGTTATCTTTTTTTTTTTTTAGTTATCTTTTAAAGGTAGCTTTTTCTTGTTTTAAAACATTTCAGAGTGCTTCTCAAAAATGGGGGGGGGGGGGCAGTTTAAAATGTCAAAACTATACCCTGGAAAAGATACTGGCCTGTTTAGAAAATAGCCTCTGAAATAAACTGAGCTTGTAACTCCAAGCCTTTTTTGTAAGAAAATCTTTTGTATTTCCCTTTGGTGAGAACCAGTTACGGGGGTAATCTTATCTATATCGGATAGTGTGTCAGAATGGTTTAAACTCAAAGGGACCCCAGAGATAGTTTTCTGCTCCTCTGATCCTACCCTACCCCTGTTTGACAAATAAAGATACTGGGAATCAGAGAGGTTAAACAACTCACCCAGGGACAGGTAACTTACTCATCCTAGGAGACTAGAATTCAGGTGTTCCAGCTTGTGCTGCTTTCACTATAACAGGGTTTGTCCCATTGCTTAAGTGAGTTTGGTGTGATGGTTGGAACCTGAACTGAGTCTCACAGAACTCATTTCAAATCCTGATTTAACCATTTAATTGCTCTGTGACCATGGGTGTTCCTTAACATCTATCAACCTTAGTTTCATTGTTATACATTGTGACCACAGTTGTACTACCATCTAAGAGTGTTGTGTGAAATGCCTGGTAGACCAGTTAACATTGGTTCTTACTATTATGCCTGCTAGAGGCTTCTTGAATTGAACAGATGAGGGGCAAGTTGCGTTTCAGCTTAGCTCTGAAGGGTAAGGAGGATTTGAAAAGTCAGTGAAGACTGGGAGGGAAATCCCAGGCATTATGATGTGAGAAAAGGATGACAGTCAAAATATAAGACATTTAGGAAATACTGAGTTAGAGTCATTTTGCCAGATAGATAAGGTTCATGCAGGGGAGGGGAGGAAATTGAGGGGAAATGAAGCTTGATGGGGAAGCTGGGACCACGTGCTGGGGAGTGTTGGATTGCAAGGCTCTATGGAGTTTCAGGAAGAAGAATCGGAGAGCAAGGTTGGAGATGGACTTGTGAAGGAGAGGAGGAAAATGAAGGTAGGGAACCAAAGAGAGGAAGCCATTCTTCACAGAACTAGATAGAAAAATAAGTATGAACAAAGAATTGCATCTCTCTGGTGCTTGGAGATGAATGTACTTACGTAAGGGGAGAATCAGAGATGAAGTTCTCAGTCTGAGTGAATGAGATGTTCATGGCCCAGCTGATCCCTAGTTGCCACTGAAGGCAGTAAGATGACAAGGGGAGCTGAAATAGTTGTTCTTATTGCTTCTCTCCAATTTAACAGAATTAAGGTCTGCTCAGTTCTTTAGAAGAAAAGTGAACAAGAGTCCTTGCCCTCGAGGGGCTTAAGGTTTAGTTGGGAGGCGGTGATAGAAACTCGGGTGATGGTAATACAAGCAGAGTAGACACGCCTGGCAGAGAAAGTCCCAACAGTGTTCAGAGGAGGAAGATATCTTCTTTAACTTGGAGTGTCAGGAAACAGTGTACATCTTGAAGGTGAGTGAAAATTTGACCAGTTGAGGTTGATAAAGGTGGGAGATTTGTCCTAGCGAAGGAGTAAAGATGCAAAGTCACACCCCAAGTTAATGGGTATTATGTTAACGGGAACGTTAATGGGCCGAATACGCTGAAATAGAGGGGATCACTACTACTAAGAGAAAAGTAATGGAAGTGGAAAGTCCAGCGGAGTGTGTTGTTTGAACGCTAAGTCAGTAGATATCAAGGATTCACTGAGAGTAACTGAGGGGAAGGACGGAGTGACCAGCAGCAGACTTTGGCAATACTTAGTTGACCTTGGTATGTTGTTCGTGTTGGAACGGGGAGAAATGGAAGCAAGACAAACTGGGTGGGGATGAAGCACTAGTGTTGGCAGGAGATGTGGAACCTGGATATTGGGATGGTGGAAAACGGTTCTAGCATAGCTGGAAAAGATACTTTTTTTTTCCCCCACTTTTCCGAAAGAAATGAAAGAGACCAAGCCTTACAGGAGTTATTTAGCCTCCCAGCTGGGAGAAAGCCAGCCAAAAGAGTGGTCTCTTGGACTCCCTGCTTGCTGCCTCTTGTTCAGGTCCTGGCTCTTCTGATGCTACAGCTCCATGGGGACCGTTTCCTGGAAGCTGCCTTGGGGCTGCCCCAGCACTCATGTTGAAACCTCCTTAGAACTGTTGGAACATCTGCTCTGTTCTGTAATGATTTATGTAAAAACTGGAATCACGCTTCTCATCTTTTTATTCCCCTCAGCCTAGGGTGACACCATGTGTATTTGTGTTGTTTTAGTCACTAAGTCTTGTCTGACTCTTTTGCGACCTTGTGGACTGTAACCCTCCAAGCTCATCTGTCCATAGGATTTCCCAGGCAAATATTTTGGAGTATATTGCCATTTCCTTTTCTGAGAGATCTTCCTGACCCAGGGATCGAACCTGAATCTCCTGCATTGGCAGGCGGATTCTTTACCACAGTGCCACCTGGGAAGCCCTTGCGTATGGTAAATCTTCAGAAATGCTTAGGAAATTGAACACTTGTAACCAAGGACTTTCTAGGTAAAGTTGTTCTGAAGTTGAAAAACAAAATATATTTCCCCAGCAAGGGCGTGGAGTGCAAAACAAGTCTGAAGGAATGGGTCAGTTCAGTTCAGTTGCTCAGTCATGTCTGACTTTTGTGACCCCCATGGACTGCAGCACATCAGGCTTCCCTGTCCATCACCAACTCCTGGAGCTTGCTCAGACTCATGTCCATTGAGTTGGTGATGCCATCCAACCATCTTGTCCTCTGTTGTCCCCTTCTCCTCCCACCTTCAATCTTTCCCAGCATCAAGGTCTTTTCAAATGAGTCAGTTCTTCGCATCAGGTGGCCAGAGTATTGGAGTTTCAGCTTCAGCATCAGCCCTTCCAATGAATATTCAGGACTAATTTTCTTTAGATGGACTGGTTGGATCTCCTTGCAGTCCAAGGGACTCTCAAGAGTCTTCTCCAGCACCACAGTTCAAAAGCATCAATTCTTCGGCACTCAGCTTTCTTTATAGTCCAACTCTCACATCCATACATGACCACTGGAAAAACCATAGCCTTGACTAGATGGACCTTTGTTGGCAAAGTAATGTCTCTGCTTTTTAATATGCTGTCTAGGTTGGTGATGGCTTTCCTTCCAAGGAGCAACTGTCTTTAATTTCATGGCTGCTTTCACCATCTACAGTGATTTTGGAGCCCAAGAAAATAAAGTCTGTCACTGTTTCCATTGTCTACCCATCTGCTTGCCCTGAAGTGATGGGACCGGATGTCATGGTCTTAGTTTTCTGAATGTTGAGTTTTTAAACCGGCTTTTTCACTCTCTTTCACTTTCATCAGGAGGCTCTTTAGTTCCTCTTCACTTTGTGCCATAAGGGTGATGTCATCTGCGTATCTGAGGTTGTTGATATTTCTCCCAGCAATCTTGATTCCAGCTTGTGCTTCATCCAGCCCTGTTTTTCATGATGTACACTGCATAGAAGTTAAATAAGCAGGGTGACAATATACAGCCTTCAAGTACTTGTTTCCCAATTTGGAACCAGTCTGTTGTTCCATGTCCAGTTCTAACTGTTGCTTCTTGGCCTGTGTACAGATTTCTCAGAAGGCAGGTAAGGTGGTCTGGTATTCCCATCTCTTTAAAAATTTTCCAGTTTGTTGTGATCCACACAGTCAAAGGCTTTAGCAGAGTCAGTGAAGCAGAAGTAGATGTTCTTTTGGAATTGTCTTGCTTTTTAGAAGATGGTTTACAACAAGACTTTTACCAGTTTAAAGCATTGGAGAAATGACTTAATTCCCACATTCTTTTTACATTTATGCACAGAGCTTTTTTGATTGTAATGTTCTTTATTGTAATTATAAGCAGCTATTTTAAGAACAATTTCTGGTTTTTATTAGGGACCAAAGAAAGAAAAAAATGAATCCTGTTGTAAACCTCAGATTAAAATCACAATCTTTGTTTAGAACAGTTATGTCCAAACTTTTCCAGTCACACAATCCTGTCAGTAAAAACTGTTTACAAAAGTTACATACATATATTCTTATACCAGCATTTTGTATAACTAAAAAAAATACAGTAAGTTGTGCTTTTCTAAAATAATTTTGTGCTTTAAATGTACATGCTCCATTTTCCACCAAAATTGCTAATAATTTTTTAGTGAAAGTCATGCAATTAAAAATGTTTTGTTAGTTTAAAACTATTGGCTTATCTCATTTTGATACAGACGGATGCTGTCTCTAAAACTTGAACTTGATGCTTAATTTTGATGGCTGTAGAGGTGAAAACGATGCCTCACAAAGGTTTGTCAATGGAGATGAAAGAAATACATTTTTGCGTCTGCTTAGTAACTTGTGATTGCTCCTGTCCACCAACCCTCTTCCGTTTTTGTTCTTGAAATTCACCTTCTACATCTCCATTTTTCCATGCCTTTATATCACCTGTTCTTACAAACTAATCAAAAGATGTTTTATAATTTTAACAAACAGGCTTAAGACCCACTAAAAATCCTCATTTGGAAGTTCTTAAACAAATTAGGGAGTATTTCCAGGTCTTTAAAATGTGTAGACAGTAAGGAGTTTCAAGGATGCTGAGCATCGGTTCAGTGGTTAAAATCATGTAACGACCCACTCATAGTTCCTTCCTCATACTCTTTTTTTTTTTTTTTAAGCTTTTTCACTTGTAGGTTGACTTTTGTTACATTTAGATCCACATTGGTTTTCACCTTCTAACCCGGTTGAGTTTAAAATTGCTGTAGACAGAAGCTTCAGCCGTGCCATTTTCTTGTTTGTGTGTGTTTGCCTTCCTAGTGTCTCCCCTTCTTGTAGTTTCTCTGCAAGAATCTCTAAAGCTGCTTTTTCTTTTCTAAGATGTAGTTGATATATAGCATAAGGTTAGTTTCAAGATACATAATGATTCAGTGTTTCTGTATATTGCCAAATGATCCCAGTAAGTACGGATAACATCTGTCACCATAGTTACATTTTTTTCATTTGAAGAGAATTTTTAAGAACTTCTTTCAGCAGCTTTCAAATATGCAGCACAGTATTAACTAGAGTCACCAGGCTGTGACTCCACCCCCAGGGCTGCCTTATTTTATAACAGTTGGTGTCGTTTGACCCATTTTGCCCCTGCATCACCCCCCATACTGTCTGTTGTAAACATGTTCAGCATTTAGACCAAGTGAGCTTGTCAGTATCCATTTGTACATTAAATGTGGTCTGTTTTCTCTCACTTTTAAAATATAAATAGGCATTCTGCTCTTTTCCTTATTCAAAGTGGATCATTTTGTACTGACCGAGGCACCCATAAAAGTCACAGAAATAGCTGAATGGTGGGTTACAAGTCCGAGCCTTTAGATCTGGCTTGAGTGTTGGCTCCAGTAGGCAGGTGGCCTCTTGCCCCCGAGCACACGACTGAAGTCACCACGCCGCAGTCGCGTCATCTGTGAAAGGGTGCTCCGGGTTGTGCTGGGAGCTCGTACACATGCTGCTGCAAGCCACCGCCTGGCACCCTTTCTCAGCTCTCCCCAGGCTGAGCGTGTAAACACATGACATCATAACCTGCCTTCCCCCTGGAAGGAAAGTGCTTGGACTCCAATTCGCCAGTTGGGGGGTTGCTTGCAAAACCTCAGTATCTATAAAGTGACAGTGAAACAGTTGCTACTGGGGGCTTTGGGGGGGGGACTTTTTTTTCCCTTTACTATTCAGAGGTGTTTTTAATGCTTGGATGTGTAGCCTTGTATGAAGTTTTAACAGCAAAGTATCACTTTTCATAAAGGTACCAGTAATTTTTTTTTTTTAACTCTTCAGGAATAGTACAGAAACAGATACCAGACATCTCACAGGACAGAAAGGAGCACACACGAGCACAAACCCTGTTGGGATCGAGTCAGGTGCCTGAGCCTGAATGATGACTGCTGAGTCGAGGGAAGCCACAGGTCTGTCCCCCCAGGCTGCCCAGGAGAAGGACGGGATCGTGATAGTGAAGGTGGAAGAGGAGGATGAGGAGGAGCACATGTGGGGGCAGGACGCCAGCCTGCAGGAGTCTCCCCCGCCCGACCCGGAGATCTTCCGCCAGCGCTTCAGGCACTTCTGTTACCAGAACACCTTCGGGCCCCGAGAGGCCCTGAGTCGACTGAAGGAACTTTGCCACCAGTGGCTGCGGCCCGAGATCCACACCAAGGAGCAGATCCTGGAGCTGCTGGTGCTCGAGCAGTTCCTCTCCATCCTGCCCCGGGAGCTCCAGGCCTGGCTGCAGGAGTACCGTCCTGACAGCGGGGAGGAGGCTGTGACCCTGCTGGAGGATCTGGAGCTGGATTTGTCAGGACAGCAGGTGAGGCCTGGTGAGCAGCACGTGGACTTTGACACCAGAGCAAAGAGAGAGTTACTGATTTAAAGCTCGTATTTGTGGTACTTCGATCCTGCTCCGCTTGGCTGTTAAGAAAGTTTTCTGGCCCTGGCCCTCGCCCAGCCACTGGCATATTACTGTCTTTCTGTTTGTCTAAATTTCTGTTTAAAAAGTAATTTACCCACAAGCCCAACCCGTTTGTCCTCAGGTCCCAGGTCAAGTTCATGGGCCTGAGATGCTGGCAAGGGGGATGGTGCCTCTGGATCCAGTACAGGAGTCCTCGAGCTTTGACCTTCCTCATGAGCCCGCCCAGTCCCATTTCAAACATTCATCTCGGAAACCCCGTCTGTTACAGCCTCGAGGTAAGAAGCCAGGTTTCATGTGGGGTGTGAAGCAGGGACGCACCAATCAGATGTGTCGGTGTTGTTGATGCCTGTAGTAGAGAGGCATGCTTGTTTCTGTTGTCATTACTACTATACATCAGAGGAAACATAGCCTACAGACCAATTTCATGAGTTAAAGAGTGTCACTGAGGAGGTAAGTGGTATGTGCATAATAAACTTGGGTGGACATTATATTGTTTGTTGAATTGTTAGCATTCTGGATGTCTAGCAGACCTTTTTTAACAGGAAAGTCCTGAGGAGATGATATATATCCAGCACTTGGTATGTCATAAGTTATCTTTAAAAGGATCATTTTTAAATTGATTTTATTTGGGACTTCCCTGGTTGTCCAGGGGTTAAGACTCCGTGCTTCCACTGCAGGGGGCATGGGTTCAGTGTGTGGTGAGGGAAACTGGATCCTCCATGCCACTCAGCACTGCCCCAAAATAAATAAATTCATTTTCTTTAAAATGTATAAATACTGTATAACAGCACTCTTTTTCTAGGTTACTTTCAGAAATTCCAAAGAATGGAAAAAGGATGGAAAAAATGTTTTTGGTTGAGGAACGTGAGGCAAAAAAAATCATTTCAGAGTCATATAAATAAAAATTAGTTTTTTTCCTTTGAGGGAAATATTAATGTATTTTATCCGGTTTTAAAATCAAAGTAGGTACATAGACTATCAGTAAACAATAATAACATGCTAAAAGAATGATTGTTCAAGAGCTGATAAACTCACAGTCCTTACCCAGTGTGTATGCTTGTAGTGACGTTTAGAGTGGGCGTATAGAGCTGAAGGAGGCATTCTTGTCGGTGTGTTCTGGAGGACAGCCAGCATTCATAAGCTGGAGAAACCCACATGAACCATCCAGTATGCTGTGATGTTTAGTCCACTACTGTCCACCCCATCCCATTTTTTCCTCCTGGGGGTTGAAATTAGAAAATGGAAAAGGATATTCGTGGTTTTAAATGCCAGATTAGGGCTGCAGATTACCAGAGTAATAGTTCTAGAAATCCTGGAATATATAGTTGTTACATAGTAAATATGCACTTATTCTTAGTTTCCTCTTTGTGCTGATCATCTTCCATGGTGTTTTCTCACTCATAAGGTTGGAGTGCTAGGTACTTGATCTTTTTGGACACTTTGCTCTAGCTTTCCGTAATTCTGTTTCAGAATCGTTTTTCTAATATCTTTGCAATACAGTAACATCATCTGTTTACCAGTAACATTTCCAAATCTAACATTACTTGGCAAGGGAAGGTTTTGATTTTGCAGTCTCCTAAGAATTTTCCAGTTTTTGTTTTTTTTTTTTCTTCAGTTTTTCTTACACATTGCAGCTAGTGTGATCCTGTGTTGAATATGTCTTTTAGTAGAGGAGTATCAACCCGTGCCTTCATACACTTGGAAATGTCTCATCAGCATTCAGACCCTTTGTGTGTTTTATCCAAAAACTGGTCAAGTGAAGGAGAAAAGTAGAGGGACAAAAATTGGCAGAAACTTAAAAATAAGAACTCCTTCCTTCTCTGTTTCAAGATATTACTGCTAAAGATTTTTAAAACTTAATTTTTCACAACTGGATGGATATCTGAAGTCCTAGTCCAGTTCCTTGGACTGGAGAAGGTTAAATTACGAGCCAGACTTGACTCAAGAGCTGAGTGTTACCCACTTCTGTAGCTGAGGACAGGAACCTGGTTCTGGTTCTAGCTCTGCCCTCTCAACAGGGGACGTTAGGCAAGTCGATTACCCTCTTGGGGCCTCTGTTTCACCATCTGTGACTCCTTGTTCCTCCTGCTCAAGAACAGAAGTCTTGGGAAGACACAGCTTATGCCGGCCTTCTTACAGTCTCTGTAATTATCAGTTCTGTAGTTCCTCATTGAACATCAGGCACACTAGTGCAGGAAAGAGAGTGCCCTGGGCCCTTCTTCGAGGGGACCTAGAGCAGAGCTGGCTTCACTCACAGCTCCTTTCTCCTCCTTCAGCTCTCCCTGCCACCCACGTTCCTGCCCCTCATCCTGAGGGGGCTCCCAGAGACCAGGCGATGGCATCTGCATTGTTCTCGGCAGATTCCCAGGTGAGCTGTGGGCCCCTCTGCCCTCCTGAGTCCCTGCCGTCTGCCTCTTGCTGGGGCTCTCCTGGCGGTCTTCTCCCAAGACACTGGCTGCTGAAGCCCGGGCCCACAGGGTAGCCCCACTCCCTGGGGTCCATTGGAGCCCGGCACGGCCGCCTTTTCTTCCCAGCATCCTGTAGGTTTGCAGTCACCTCTGTTCCTGACTGCAGGTTCGGGCAGTGGGACTGTCCCTGGGCTTTGGGGGAACTGAGTGTGGGGATCTCGTGTTATTTCAGGCAATGGTGAAGATCGAGGACATGGCCGTGTCCCTCATCCTGGAGGAATGGGGATGTCAGAACCTGGCTCGGAGGAATCTCAATAGGGACGCCAGGCAGGAGAATTATGGGAACGTGATTTCCCAGGGTAAGACGGGTGCAGGATTACTTGTGATAAGAGTGTATTGCCTCTTTTTCCAGTAGCTGTGGGATCTTTGATGTCTTAGACTACCGAGCCCATTTGTTCAGACCAGATGGAGAAGGAGAACACTGTTTATTTCATCCCAAAGCCTGGCACTGGGACTTCCTGACCTCACGTGGATTTCCTAGGTCTAGGTAGTTTTACCTCTAGGGAGTCTTTTGAAAGCAGAAGTAACTCTTGTGTTTTGATTCCCTACCTCTTCAACTACTCCGCCACCAGCAAGGATTCTGCTTCATTCTCTGTGGTTACAACTGAGGTGCTTTTGTTGGGGTTGGGGAGTGTCTGTTTTTCAGTGTAGATGGCCAGGCGGGCACTGACCGTCAGTCTCATCCTAACCTGGAACTCGTTCCTGAGCCCACCAGGCATCCTTCCACGGGTTTTCGGTCTCGCGTCCTATGAGCACTGCTCCACCAAAACTGTATAATTCCATGACCTTATGCCTGTCCCTCCCTCAGGGTCAGGTTTCCTAGGTTCCAAACCTAGTGGTGATCTTCTGTGAAGAGCTCTGGCTCCTGAGAGTGTAGTAAGAACAAAGAAGTTCTCAGAGGCATCAACCAGATAAGACAAGGTGACGCAGCTGACAGTCTCATTTGTCTCTGTTAGGTCTCAACCCCTGGGAGACTTCACTGTAAGAAACTGTCAGATCAGTCCTGTCACAGAGAAAGTCCACTTCCTGAGACTTCTGCCTGGGGAGAGCAAGGGGAATGTGAATGAAGGGAAACTAGGAAGAGAGGATGTTACTACAGAAACTTCAAGTTTTATTTTGAACCATAGGATTCACTGGGGTTCGATTCTTTTTTTTTTTAAGGAGGGGGAAATTTCTCCCCCTACCCATTTGAGTTCNCTCTGCATTTGTAAGATCTTGTTTTCTTATATTACATCCTTTGTGAGCCGTTTCCAGACATGTTTTCACTTTCTTTGTTCTTAGTAACTCTCAATCATCTGTCAGTGAAAGTTTCAGTTACATTTACTGATGCCACAACCAGCCTCTCGCCCTCAACCCTGTTACTTGAGCACATCACCTCTCTTCTCCCTGGTGGAAAGAAACCGTTTCATGTGTCTGAAGGTCCACGTCACCTGCCAGATTGTTTTTAATTTCATAAATACTTCAGAATACTTCAAAATAATTTCATAAATTAAAACTGAAACATTTTTTTTAATGTGTATTGATTCTTTCAAATTAATTATTGGGTGACCAATTATAGAACCATGTGTTGTGACCTCTTATGTTCCTTAATGCCTCACCCCTTCCCTTGTTTTCTTGCCTGGTCTGTTCCTTCTGCTTGTTCCCAGCTTCTGCACACTCCCTGCATTGTCCTTCCCACTCTTTGCCTGCCCTCACATTTCCCAGTTCTCCCTGTTATCCCTGTATTTTTTCCCTTTTTCTACTATTTTGTCTACAATTTGTACTGTGAGGTCATTTTGCAGGTATGTAGAGGCTTCCTGGGAAAGTGTCACTTGAGTAAACCATATATTCAAAAGAGGAAGGTGCTATTTGTATTTTCTATTTATTGTGTCAGGTTGTGAAAACAGGAATGAGACTGAGGAGTCCACCTCAAAGGCTGAAAGTGCAGAAGACTCAGCATCACGTGGGGAGACCGCAGGAAAATTCCAGAAAGATGTCGGAGAAAAGCGTGAACAGCAGGGCAGAGTGGTAGAAAGGCAGCAGAGAAACCCCGAGGAGAAAGCTGGAAAAGAAAAGAGAGACTCGGGGCCAGCTACAGTCAAGGAGAAAAAACCCAGCACAGGAGAGCGAGGCCCGAGGGAGAAGGGAAAAGGTCTGGGAAGAAGCTTCAGTCTGAGCTCAAACTTCACCACCACTGAGGAAGTTCCCACGGGAACCAAGTCCCACAGATGTGATGAATGTGGAAAATGCTTCACACGGAGTTCAAGCCTTATTCGCCATAAAATAATCCACACTGGAGAGAAGCCCTATGAATGTAGTGAGTGTGGGAAAGCCTTCAGTCTTAACTCAAACCTCGTCCTGCATCAGCGCATCCACACAGGAGAGAAGCCTCATGAATGTAACGAGTGTGGCAAAGCCTTCAGTCACAGTTCAAATCTCATTCTGCATCAGCGAATCCACTCTGGGGAGAAACCCTATGAATGTAACGAGTGTGGGAAGGCCTTCAGCCAGAGCTCAGACCTTACTAAGCATCAGAGAATCCACACAGGGGAAAAACCCTACGAATGTAGTGAGTGTGGAAAAGCTTTCAACCGAAACTCATACCTTATTTTGCACCGGAGAATTCACACCCGAGAAAAGCCCTACAAGTGCACGAAGTGTGGCAAGGCCTTCACCCGGAGCTCGACCCTCACTCTGCATCACAGAATCCACACCAGAGAGCGAGCCTCAGAGTACAGCCCAGCCTCCCTCGACGCGTTCGGAGCATTCCTGAAAAGCTGTGTGTAAAGCGTTTGTCAAGCCATTTCCCCCTTTTGTTTCTAAAATGATTTCAGAGATTTGTGCCCATGGAGCAGGAAAAAAAAAGCCTAAACAGGTTATAAAGAAAATCACACTCAAGCATCCTTCCAGCTACATCAGCAGTGTTCTGCCTTTGTGTAGTCCATGGGCCGGTAGTTGTTCCAAAGCCCCTGTAGGGAAATGCTCAACTCGGGATGTAATCCACATGCTACTTCCACACAGGATAGAAGCACACACAGCAAAGCTTTCAGTAATGAGGGTACCTCTAAGGCACCCTTGGACTCTCCACAACCACACCGTATAATTGAAAGACTGAGATCATGTCTGTGAAAACGACACTGATGTCCAAAACCTGCTTGCCACAGGCAAACCCTACTTGGCCAACATCTTGCTGAACCTTATTTCTCAAAAAAGAGGGACAGTTTGAACAAACTATATGGATACCTGCTGCTCAAACTAATTACATAGATATGGTAAGTTCTGTCCGGGTACTGGTAGCCTACCAAAGCTGTAGAAATCTAGGACTGCGCTCATCCATATCAAACCAAAGATTTCAGTCTCTTCCTGAAAGGGAGAGTACATGTGCACCAGGCAGCAGTTCCAAAGGTAGATGGTCTGTCCTCACTGAGACAAATCCTGCTGAAACGGCAACTGTGATTCAAAACTCTCCTCTCCCTTTGTGAGATCCCTGAATTCCTAAAGCGCTGTCGCACTCCTCAGCGCATCTCTCCATGAGTGAGCACTAGATTGCATACTGTCTGTGATCCTTCGTTGTTCTACGTGTGAACGTTTCCGTCACTCCCCAGAAGAGGCGCTTCTTCTGTCGGGTATATTTATATTTATATCCTGGACAGCCCTGGACGCAGTGCTGAACGTGTAAGAAGTGCTCCTTAGGCCTGACTTCTAGCAGGACTTTGACATTCACCACAGGGCCAGTGAGTCAGGAGTACCTGAAATACGGTAGCCCAGGCCAGCTTGTGAGATCTTCAGGGCCAAGGGCATTGCTAGAGCTCCAGAGTCTCATGTTTGTTTTTGTCTTGAAGATAAAACAAACGTGTCAGTCCACCACCGGCATAGACTCTTGTCTAGACCCAGATCAGAGAGCGAGTACCAGGGAATGTCAGAAGTGACTTTGTTGTCATCATCTTAAAAAAGAAAGACACTTAGGCTATTGTTGGATGTCTGTTCATGGCAAAGATGTTCACCCGAATCTGTCAGTCAACTGCTGGACACCGTGATGATTGGAGCACTTTCTGAATCATGTGGAACGTTAAACAATAAAGTTCAGAAGATGTGATTTCTGTTGCTTTTCAGAAAAAGGAACATTTTTTCCCCACCCCTTCCAGAAACTTTGAAAAAGCATTTGACACCATTATCTGGCAGTTACTAAACATGTCTGTTGCTCCGAGAAACTCACCAGCCTACTGAAATGTAGGTGGGTATGTCGCAGTCATTCTGCACGGTGTCTTTTCTGTTTCTCGTCGCTAAAGACAGGTGAGGCTGTGAAACTTTGATCTTTCCCACCATCTGTGCAGGAGGTTCACTCCCTTCTAGAAGCTCATAACAGACCATTTTTGGATACACACACACGAGCCCCAAGCAGCGTGGGCTGCATAAGTCATCAGGGCTTCAGGTAGGGGTGACTGCTCATGCAGGAACTTAGAAACAGACTAAGAACACACCTGAAGACTAGCCTTCTGATAGGAGACTCCCCACCCCCCTGCCACGTAGAGTTTGAGATCTTCCGTCAGGAACTAAAACTCATCCGTCACTTGTTCGTCAACCAACAGCCCAAGCTTGTGAGACAGGGTCAGCTTCATGGGGAACCATGGAGGTGGGGCAGCTGTAGCCTCAACTCCAGGCCAAGCAGCACTAATCCTCTGGCCTCTGTAACTTGGACCCGCCCCCAGCTTCCCTGCAGCTCCTAAGCAGTTGCATCAGTGTTGCTTAGGGGAATTTCACCGAGGTCAGCTGGTGACCAGAGTAGTCTATCCAGCCAGATTAAGAAAAGGAGTGATACTCCAGAAGGGCAAACCTGACTAACTTTTGATAGAAAAGGGAAGGTAGAAGAAACTGTTTTGAGGAATTTTCTTCAGAATAAACAAGGATGGTCAAGTAGAAAACTTGGTGCATTTGAGCAAAGACATCTGCTGCCAGGGAGCTACTGAAAGCAGTGAGGTGCTTAACTCAAGACACTGATCAAAGCACCACCTGTTCTGAAGAGTCAGAGAACGTTGGCTGGGTCCACGTTGGCCTTTTGGAGCCACAACTCCATGCCAACATAATTCTGCCATCATTTCTTTTTGTGGAAATTATAACCTGTTCCCCCATATGTAATTCCCATTTTCCTGGGATATCGTACAGACTGTGGGACAGCTATGGGGATTGTTCCAGGTCTTCTGCAGATGGACTCCTTGAAATAGCTGTTTGAAGACATCATTTCTGAAGAAAACAGGCTACTGCTGTTTATTAAAACTATTCGCATTGCATCTATTTATCAGCTCCTCAGCACAAAGTGTAATTGGGTCATGGTCCAAAAGGCTGACAACATCTAAATTAGTGCTTGGGATTGAAAGTCCTCGACTGGCTGAAGTCTGTTAACAGTTCAAGGACTCTAGTTAACTGGTGGCATGCTAGCTGACCCAGTGGAAATTTTTGAGAGGTTTTTAAAAATATACCTTAACCTTGCCAGGAAGAGACATAAAATTCTTCAGGTTGCAGGGCATTTATTTCTGCTTCATCCTGGCAGGCAAGGCTAAAGCCTAAGACTGCAGATGTATAAGGCATCTTGATATGTTAGGGCACTTAGTATTTTAAAGTGAAGCTGTGCTAAAGATGTACAGACAGGTTGACCCTTTTGAGAGGTAAGAATTCGCATCGTACCTGGCATGAGAAAATTCATTCCAGGAAGGAACCTCTTAAGTGTGATAAATATGGCAAAGCCTTTAATCACATTTCAGCTCTTAGCATCAGAAAGTTCACTGTAAATAAAATTGTTAATATTATATGTGAGGAAAACTTTCCATGTATAGCACTCATTGCTTTGGACAGAAAAGGAATTCCTTCAGTATGTTCCAGTCGTGTAATGAATTTCAGAAACACTGTGGAGAAATCTCAATCTTAACTGCAGAGAATCCACAGAAGAAAAAAAAATGGGGAAATGCTAAAGTAATAGCAAAATGTACAATTTCTGACAAAAATTGTTGATGTTGGGTACTTCTATATATTTTGTATGATCATAATGTCAGTGTCTGTGTTTTGTACCTCCAGCCCCTGTTATTCTGTATACACCCTGTACCAGATAATGTATTTTTATTTTAGTCTATTTGACAGAACACATCACTCCAAAAGAGCAGTGCTTTGGAGTGAGTAGTGAAATTGACATAGACAAAAAGTCAATTCACAGAACTGAGGAGAGGGGGAAAAAAAACACACTGCATAGTTTGGTGCTTATCAAGTCAAGAGCTTAGGAATGAGTAGATTTCGTTAGGAGGGACAGGTGAATAGGGAACTAAAATGGAACAGTTCGCTATAGACACCTGCAGTTTCCATAGCCAGGAACTCGATGCTTAGCTGTCAGATCACCGATTCAAGCAAGGAGAATGGGTTCTCTGAGCTTGTCGGGGGCAGAAGAAGGTCTGCTCCATGAACTGAGAGTAGGGAGTGGACTGGGAAGGCCAGGGGGACCACTTTTTATCTTGACCTGGACCAATGGTATGAAGAAGCATCCTGCTTCCCCCACTAACTCTTTCATCTCTGTGTTGAGAAAACGTGGGGTAGGAAAACACCAAGATGGACTTTGCCCTGGAAGATAGACACAGGTGCATCCAGGCCCTGGCATTGCAGTGTTCCTTCTGTATACCTCCCCTGATCCCACTCACCTCCCCTGGCTTGTGATTATTAGAGAGGGCTTGAGAAGATTCACAGCTGAGAAAGAACTTTTTTCTCTTTATCCTAGAGTTAATCACCTTTTATTGCAGGGTCTGGTTATCCTACATACTCATCTAAAGCTAGCTAACCAGGTTCATCCTACCACCGTCATGGAAGAATCATCGTGTAAATTGGTGTAACAGAATTAACACGTAGTCAGACAGTGACAGCAATACCTGCCAGAGAAGCCATGTGTTTGTGGTCCCACTCTGTGCAGTTGCTCAGAAATAGCGATGAGGGGGCCATGGTTGCCTGAACTGGGAAACCAAATGCAGGTCTGCAGATTGCAAAGCAAAATGTAGAATCAGAGAAAAGGAAAGTAAGTGGTATAAATAGATGTTTTTGTAGAAGTTAGAGTAGATTTTTATTTCAGCTACTGCTGGAGAATATAATAGAAAACATTGTTTAAAAAGTTTCTCTAACATTTGGGTTTTCATTCCTGGGATGGACACACTACTGTACATTGAAAAGTAGTTACTTATTTTGCTATTCAAATTAATTTTTTATTATATCTAAAACTGAAATTATCTGTTTTACTTTTCAGAGCTTTGTAAAAACAAACTTGAAGTTATAGGGAGGTAAGCCATCTCCGATTCTGCAGGTCAAACAGAAGTTTGGGAAATACTTTAGACATCACATAATAAGAATGTCTTAACATGAGAACTTAGTTTCATATTGTCTGGTTCTGTTTAATAGTGGATACCACAAACCTCATGTTCTTCTCTTATCCTGAAACCGTGGAAGGTAAAGAGTGGACATTAGATTGACTTCTGAACAATGGTCTGTTATTTAACAGGTTTTTCTTTTAATTGTTGAATTTCTCACCTCCATTTACTAAAGAATCATGACTCACTTCAAATTGCACAGCAATCAGCAAAGTTAATTGGTCCTAAATTAAATTTTCTCCTTTCAGCAAGCACTCATTAAGCAGTCAGGCTGAGTGTGTTAAGATGCAAAGAGTAAGTTTGTGAGGTATTGAAAGGTGATGCTGAAACTAGGATTTCATTCTAGCATCAGATGTGGGTTTCAAGTTCCTTTGGTCCAGGGAACAGACTGGGCAGCCACAGGTGCCCCCAAGTTGCTTTTGGTTAGTCTCCCAACAAGGTCAGATGCGCCGTGAAGGAGAGTAGGGAGGAGGGTTGCAGAAGCCAGACCCCAGCTGCTCAAGAGTAACAGGCGAGCCTGGGGGAGGGAGAGGAGAGAGACTGGCCATGGGTTGTGGCCCAGTACTTGCCCGCCTTTCCACTTGCCCCCTGCCCCGCCCGAGCAAGGACAAAGCATATTAGAGATGCTTCTGCTGGTTGTAGGGGTTCTTCTGTGAAAACAGATACATGAGGGGGGTGGGTGGGAGGAAATGGGTTGTGATGATACAGGAAAATTTGTGAGTTTAGGGGCAAAGGGTGGGATATGCAGGCAAAATTCGTAATTATTTTAAAATGAACATACGTATTTTTATTAGCTTTTAGTTAAATAGAGATTATTACACCCAGGTCAACACGATAAGCCTAAATCTATAATAGAGAACTAACTCAGGCATTGTCTTGTTTATCTGTAGACTGGATAAAATAAACCTTTCCTGTTTGTCAGTTCCTAGTTTCTTCGTTTAGAATCAATTAGACCAAAAGAAGAAACTCACTTGTCTTTGTACACCCCCAGCGTTAAGTTACTGCTGTTCAAGCCTGGCCTTTTCATTTCACTGGTCTTTGAAGAGTCCAGGTGCTTGGTAGATGTTCAGTAAATGATTTTTTAAGTGAACTTGTTTATTTAAAATCCTCATTAACATTTCTGGAAAGGCTTCTTTCGATAAGTAATGGGATCTTAGACGGAAAGTGGTTTTTTGTTGTTGTCAAAGCTAGGAAACTCCTCCATTGAAGAGTCTTTTGAAACCTTGACCGAGAGCTAAAAGTTTCAATCATGAGAAATAGCAGGAAGATGGAACTGATATGCACTTACAGTCAATGGTCCATTTTAGGAGGCCAGTGCTGTCTGACAGAAATGTTACAGAGTAGTGAGGTCGGGGAAGGAGATGGTAGGGATTTGTAATATTCTGTTTATGTTCTCTTCCAAATCTTGGTAAAACAATAAATTATCATCTCTAGGTGGCAATAGTTGTGATGTTTGTGTTTTGTTGTCCTTGGTTGCATAAAATGTACATTTTGGATAAAGAAATAGAAGTTTAATTTCAAAGTCAAATGTATTTCACACGTACTGCGACCCAGAAACAACCCTCACCCAAATGACATGTCCTAAGTAATTTCTCAGGAGCTTAGGTAGCTTCTAAGAGGGCAACAGAATGAAAAAAACCACAGAATAAAGATGCTTTTTAATGATCTTCTAAAACATAATTTTCTCATAAAATGAAACCATTAAAATAATCTTTGACCACTTTATGAATCTTAGAAAACAATATCCTAATGGTAAGAACAGCATGTAAAACTGATAGTTTAGATCTTAAAACTATGACTTCTAATAACCTTGCTTATTAGAAACTTTTATTTTGCTTTGTCTCATTTAATTTTTTTCACTCTATTTAGAAACCAGAGAGAAGTGCAGAGTGTTCTATTTTCCCCTGAGCTTCAGTTTCCATATCCTAAAGGACCAGTATTGGCTCTGGAATAATGGACATTGCTGATACAGGTTTAAGAGGCCTTTCCAAACTTCGCATGTCTGTTCATCAGTAGTCGCCACCACCGCCTCCCAAGTCTCAGGTGTCTCCAGCACAGCCTCCACTCCAGATGCCTGAACACGGGAGGTGCTGGTCTGAGTCTTCCTCTACCTGAGTTACCGGTCACTGTGCACCCTGCATTTGGTTCTGGACTCGCATTTTAAAAAACATCAACCATAGGAGGGAAAAACAAAACCACCTCTGGTGTGCAATGGTTTTGTTTGATGAAAAAAGGCATAAGAACTTGATCTCTACCCTCAAGTACCTAAAGGCCTGTCATGTCAGAAGAGGGACTCAGTCTGTTCTGCACGACTCCAGGAAATAGATTTAAATCCCTTTCAGTAAACATTGTCAGACCACATGCTGGATGTCAGGAATAATAGGTTCTGCAGTGAGTAAGGCATATACATAAAACCAGCTCTGCCCAGCCTCAGCCTCTGATTGTCCTGGCAGAGGCAAATTAGAAAAGGCACCTCTTCCTCAAGACACTTGGCTGCCTTGTGATAACCGCACAACTCCAGGGACTTTCCTGGTGGTCCAGTAGCTAAGACTTCCACCCTCCCAATGCAGGGGGCAAAGCTTCCATCCCTCGTCAGGGAACTAGATCCCACATGCTACAACTAAGAGCCAGCACAGCCAAATATCAAAAAACAAACTGTACAACTCCCTGATGAGATAAATGGTGGCCCCCTGGGGTTTTGTAGGGCCCAAGTTGCACAACCAGAAGGAGTGACCCGAGTGGAAGTTGCTGGGAGAAGGAACCTTGTTGCCAAGTCAGCCAGAGCAGGTTGCTGCATCAAATCAAGTCAGCTGTGACACCTGGGGTCCTGGGCAAGAAGGGATTTTGCAAGTGGGAGGGTTGGGCCACATGCCCTTTGTGATCTTCATCTACTCAGAGATAATGCAATTTTTTTCTGGGTTCTTCCATGACAAGGCAATGAGCTGGCAACCTGCCCCTGTAAAAGTCTTGGCAGGAAACTATCTTCTGTTGTTAAGAAGACAGGTGGCTTTCTCTAGAGAAGGTAGGATAACAAAAAAAAGGATCTGCAATGGGCAGAGCCACATCCATGGCGGTGGGGTGTGGGAGGCCAACATTAAAACACAGGAGATGAGAAAAATATTGTAGCCCAGAGTTTTGAAGATTAAAATGTCCTTAGTATTGGTACAGCTAATTACAAAGCTAGCTCACTCTCCTGTGATCCAGGCGCTTTAAAGTTGTCAGAGGAGGTTGTTATTACGCCCCTTTTCCTGGTAATTAAATTGCATCTTCAAGTCCCCCAAGGCTCATTAGTACAGTGTTCCAGGTCTAAGCTATGGGGTTGTCTAACTACATCACCTTGATTCTCTTTTCATTTTCTTTAGCTGAATGAATGTCTTTGCAACTTCGCAACAGGCTGTACAGGTGGACTCGTGGGGGTGGGGGGGAGGAAGTTTTAGAGCTGTGATGGGCAAGGAGCTTGCCTTGTTTTAAGAGAAATCAAGGTTTAATCACCCTCTACAGGCAAAGCATAGTGATGGCAGTAAAAATAAGTGAGTGAAACATAAGGGACAAAGATCCTGAAAGCAGCTCTTTTGTAGAGAACCACAACCACCCTGTCCAAAACAGAGGAGGGAGCCGGGACTTAGAGTAACCTGCGTAGCATTTCGCTTTACAGATTTCTGCTACAAAGGGGACGGACCCCGCCCCCCCCCCCATTTTCTTTTCAAACCAAATAATCTTTCCAAAAAAAAGAGAACAGTAATGTAGAGAGTTAAGGGGGAGAATATGGCAGAGTATGGAGATTTGTTTAAATAAGAAACCAGGGCCCTCAGAGGGTCATGTTGCACTTCACATTGCAAGATTCAGAAACAAACTTTCAGACAAGATTGTGAAACTGTTGCAGCTCATCTTTGGAACAATCATGTGGCAGTTTCCAAATATTTTGAAGGGGCTGACAAGAAGAACTACTATATGCATTTTGTGAGAGGAAAAGCTCAGGCAAGACTAGGATCAACATGGGAATTCCCTAATAGTTCAGTGGTCAAGAATTGGTGGTTTCACTGCTGAGGGCCTGGGTTCCATCCGTGATTGGGGAACTAAGAGTCCACAAGGCTTGTGGCACAGTTTAAAAGAAACAAAAAGACTAGGATCAATGAGATGAAATTACAGGAAAGCAAATGTTTAATTGAAGTTTTTGCAAGTAGAACTCTCCATAAGTTTCTTCCTATGTGATTGTTGAATGAATTCATTGGAAGAGGATGAGGTTCTTGGAAGCCAAAACAATTCTGAAATGCAGATGTCACATCCCAGCGAACCACCAACCACACTGGTTAACTTTATTTGCTGTGTGGTCTTTTCTCTAGTTGCTGAGAGCAGGGGCTCCTCCCTAGTTGTGCGGGGTTTTCATTGCGGTTGCTTCTCTTATGGAGCACAGCGTCAATAGTTGTGGTGCATAGGCTGAGTTGCTCCGCAGTATGTGGGATCGTCCTGATCAGGGATAGAACCTGTGTCTCCTACATTGACAGGCGGATTCTTCACCACTAAGCCACCAGGGAAGTCCCAACATGTGTGCCTTTTGAGGGACCAATCCCTAATCTACAGTTAGTCCCTAACTGCAACTGAGCAAGAGCGGGGCTGGGAGGAGGGGGTCGATAAGGTAGGCAAGGACCTCTGTACCAAGTGCTGCGACATCAGCTGCACCTAGAAGGCGACATCAGAGATCTCTGTCCAGGAAGCTTAGAGCCCAGAGGCCCAAGGGCACAGCTACTTCAGGTGGATGCCGCCGGGAGAGAGATAACTGAATCTCGGGCTTAGAGGGCTAAGTGTGGAACTCCATGACCATAAACGGGGACCGAGGTCCCATGCAGTGACCGGCCTGAGGATCACAGGAGAACCGGCCTCAGGTCCAGGAGAGGGACCGAGGTCACCGCGCCGAGCCCACGACTCCCCCTGGCCCGGCGGGAAGCGGCGGGGACACCGCCAAGACTTCGTCTAGTCGGCCCTTTCTTAGTTTAAAAGAAAAAAAAAGAAGAAGTGCGTACTAGGTCCCCGGCTGTTCACGTTGCGGGGGCTTCTCTCCACCAGTCGCTGCGGGGCAGGAACCACCGGCGCACCCGAGACACCGAGATGCAGAAAAGACCTCCCGAGTTCCTAGAGGGGCTGCTGCGGCCCCTCTCAGCGCTCCGCAGGCGGAGCTATGACGTACTTCCGGTTGCGCCGGCCGCGGTGCGCGTTGAGGTGTCCCAGCGGCCCGAGCGGCTCTGACTCACGGTGAGACTCCTGGTCCACGGTTCGCGTGGCGGGCGGAAGAGGGAGTTCCCGCCGAAAGGGTGCGGGGAGGGACGAGTGGATTAGGCAGCTGTGGCCTCTGGGGACTCCCTAGACCGGTCCTGGGAGGGAGGTTTGAGGAGGCCTCTGTCCCTACCCAGGCCCAGATGGCGGAGGCCTTTGCTCTCCTGAAAGCATTTCCGCCCCTACCCCCACCCCCGGGTTTAACAAGTGAAAGTTGGTCTCTTTCGCGTTACAAAGCAGTTTTTTTCTGCCTTCGGTGAGCCCAGTCGCCAGTCAGCTAGAACGGGGATGTTTTCTCTTATTTCCCGGGCCCTAAGTAGGCGGTCCAAATTCAAGGCTACTTGATTTAAGAATTCTCCCGAGAGTCGGGAGCCTCGTGTGAGAAACTGAGCCTCGGAAGTCTTGTGTATTGTCTGAAATAGGGAGGGACTAGTCCGTTGGGCATTGTTCAGGTTAGAAAGTACGTAACAGTAATCTGCTCAAGTTTAGAAACCCATTTTATGAGGGCCGTTTACTTACAGTTTGTCTAGAGAAAGGTGATCGGGTGAGTGAGGTACTTAGAAACCCCTGTTATAAAAGGAGCAGTTGAAAGAGTTGTGAAAAGAGTTAAGCAAGACAACTGTTTTCAGGTGTTGAAGAGTTAAGCAAAACAACTGTTTTCAGGTGTTGGAAGGCTACTACGGAGAAAGTAAGTTTTGGACTAGGAGAGAACTAAGTGAAGAAAGAAGAGAAAAAGTGATACAGAACTTGGTGCTGTTTAAAGAAGATCTAACAAAACTATCCAACAGTAGAAATCTGTGCCTCAGAATTACCAGATTTGCCTGCGTAGGAGTTTTCAGTTAAGGAAGAGTAACATTTAAAAAGTTGTAAGGAAAAAAAAAAAAGTAGAAAAAAAAAACATATTAGCAGTAATAGGTAAATACAATTTAATTGTTAGAATTTATAATAATAATTTGGTTCATTTATGCCTGATCTTCTCGAATGGGATTTGGGGCACTTTTGGGGGGGCATATAAGCTTTGGGAAATTGGCCTAAAGGAGGGGAAAAAACTCAGAACAGAACAAACACCTCTGCTTGTAGACTGTGAACTTTTGCTCTTTGGCCCTTTTGTGCTAAACAGTCCAGAGAGCTTAAAGAAGATAGTTCATTGTGGTTGAAGACAATGTGAGTAATGAAACCTCTGTTTTCTATTCACATGATTTTTTATTTTATAAACTCTTTATTAAGAAAAATTGAGAAGCCAAGATCTGGAGGGCATCCCTAAATGAACATTTAGACAAACTCAGCATGACCAGATGTTTAGTCAAGACCAAATACTGGCTTTGACAGGGTAGGGGTGGGAATAAACCATTATCAGGTTAAAAAAAAAAAAATCTTCACCAGTCTGACAGGTGGAAGAAAGAGAAGAGACAAAGGACAGGGAATCCAGAGGCAACAGAGACTGAAATCCTTGAGGCCTTGTTTTTGGCCTTGTGATGATTTTGGCTTTTACTCCATATGAGACACGACGCCTTGAAAGGTGTGAACAGAGGAGTGATGTGATCTGACTTGTATAATATTTTACAGACAACCGAGACTTCCTTGGTGGTCCAGCGGTTAAGACTCGGTGCTTCCACTGAAGGGGGCGTGAGTTTGGTCCCTGATGAAGGAACTAAGAGCCTGTATGCTGTGTAGTGGGGCAGAAAAAAGAAAAAAGGCACAGATGATGGACTGGGACAGCAGTGTTGGAGGAAGTGAGATGTGGTTGAATTCTGAATCTCTTGTGTGTAGAGATAACAAGATTTGCTCTTGAATTGTGTGTAGAATGTGAAGGAGGAGTCAGGGGTGACCAGGGTTTTTTTGCTCCAGAAAACGGAACAGTAAAATTGCCGTTCACTGAGATGAGAAGTGCAGTTTTGGACATGTTAAGTTTGGGAAACCACTGGATATGCTGGTGGCAAGGTCAAGTGGGTAGTTGGTTCTAAGAGTCTGGCGCTTGGAAGAGAGGTCCAGGCTGGAGATAAATTGGCAAGCGTGAATAAATAGGTGGTAATTAAAGCCATGTGACCGGATGGTATCAAGGAGAGTGAGTGCAGTTAGAAGAAGGCCCCAGGCGCCCAGCCCCCCACATGTTGGTGGCCTTACTGAGGCATGAATTTGAATTGTGGGCACTGCAAAACTGGTGTGCTGGAATAAATCACTGAGCTACTGGGCTCAGTTACTACTGACGGTGCTCATCTAGGGAAACTTTCTTCCTAAAGTGTGACTCTGTGTGTGTTTTGCAAAGATAGTGGTGTGATGTAGTGGCATCTGTGTCTGGATTTGTTAAGGTCTGGGTAACAGATCCCATGTAGGACACGCCCTGTTTAGTGCCTCCTATGCAGCGTTATAACCCCTAGTGGCTGAGTTTCCCAGGCTGAATCCCAGAAGCGGAGCAGCCCAATGGAGAGTCCCGCTCTTCTTGGGGTGCCCTCTTCTGGACAGAGTAGGAAATTCTGTAATAGTTAAGATAACAGAGTTGTTCTTGAGTGTTAGAGACGAGATGGCAGTTCTTCCCCTGGCTCAGTTTTCAAGTAATCCTCATCTTGGGAGCTTCAGTGGCATAGTGAGTACAGAGGACAGCATAGAGGAGTGTTCAGTGCTGACTCTGGTCCACTGTGCAGGAACAGTGGTACCCCGTGCGATGCTTCAGAGTTGGGGTTCCGTAGTGGAGAGTTCAGCTATCATCCCTAGAATTCTGAACTAATTAGCAGCTGATAATTATCAACTTTCTCATAAAAGCAAGATTTCATATTGAGGTTTCATTCTTAGAACCCCATTTCCTGTGTTTTTAATTACCCAAATTGATCACAAAAATAAAGGGGAAGAGCCATATAAAATACATGTTTTAAATACATATTTACCAAATGTGTGAAACTAAATACCTGATATAAAATCTGTAACAGAAATGTACCTTTGTTGGAAGGTTCTGCATGGGCTGGAATTTGTGCTTTTTCGTTTTCCTGGGTTTTTTTTTTTTTTTTTTAAAGGCCCTAGAATTTGAGCATTAGAGGTAAAATCTATCTTGGTTTGTTAAAAACTGCTTATGATCCTTTAAAGATTTTATGATTTTTCTAGTTAGAAATGTAATATCCACTAAAGAAAATTTAGAAAATGAAAAAGACTTTTAAAAATTGAAATCATTCATAATTCTCTGTCCCAGAAAGATCACTGTTAGTGTTTTTCCCTTTTTCCTTCATTGTGATTATGTGTTTATAGTGTGTGTTTTGCAAAGATAGTGGTGTGATGTAGTGGCATCTGTGTCTGGATTTGTTAAGGTCTGGGTAACAGATCCCATGTAGGACACGCCCTGTTTAGTGCCTCCTATGCAGCGTTATAACCCCTAGTGGCTGAGTTTCCCAGGCTGAATCCCAGAAGCGGAGCAGCCCAATGGAGAGTCCCGCTCTTCTTGGGGTGCCCTCTTCTGGACAGAGTAGGAAATTCTGTAATAGTTAAGATAACAGAGTTGTTCTTGAGTGTTAGAGACGAGATGGCAGTTCTTCCCCTGGCTCAGTTTTCAAGTAATCCTCATCTTGGGAGCTTCAGTGGCATAGTGAGTACAGAGGACAGCATAAAGGAGTGTTCAGTGCTGACTCTGGTCCACTGTGCAGGAACAGTGGTACCCCGTGCGATGCTTCAGAGTTGGGGTTCCGTAGTGGAGAGTTCAGCTATCATCCCTAGAATTCTGAACTAATTAGCAGCTGATAATTATCAACTTTCTCATAAAAGCAAGATTTCATATTGAGGTTTCATTCTTAGAACCCCATTTCCTGTGTTTTTAATTACCCAAATTGATCACAAAAATAAAGGGGAAGAGCCATATAAAATACATGTTTTAAATACATATTTACCAAATGTGTGAAACTAAATACCTGATATAAAATCTGTAACAGAAATGTACCTTTGTTGGAAGGTTCTGCATGGGCTGGAATTTGTGCTTTTTCGTTTTCCTGGGTTTTTTTTTTTTTTTTTTAAAGGCCCTAGAATTTGAGCATTAGAGGTAAAATCTATCTTGGTTTGTTAAAAACTGCTTATGATCCTTTAAAGATTTTATGATTTTTCTAGTTAGAAATGTAATATCCACTAAAGAAAATTTAGAAAATGAAAAAGACTTTTAAAAATTGAAATCATTCATAATTCTCTGTCCCAGAAAGATCACTGTTAGTGTTTTTCCCTTTTTCCTTCATTGTGATTATGTGTTTATTATGTGTGTGTGTGCGCAGGATATTTCAGGTGCAGTCAAGCCAGATCCATGGAGGCTGACATGCATGTTAGAAATGAGCATACTTTGCTGTATGGCTCAGGAAACTCAAACAGGGGCTCTGTATCAACCTAGAGGAGTGGGGTGGGGAGGGAGGTTTAGAAGGGAAGGGATGTATGTATACCTGTGGCTGATTATGTTGAGGTTAAAAAAAAAAAAATGAGCATACTCAGTTTATTAAATGCCTTAGATCTAGATTATCTACAACTCCTGTTCCCTCACCTTCAGCTTTTGTAAGCCATTCATACATCCTTTGTATGATCTCTACTGTCGTTGTCAGTGTAACTTCATGTAATGAACACCCACATAGATTTTTATGTCTTTGGCTCTTTATTGAGACTCCTGGAATTTTCCTTACTCAGAATCCAGTATAGGAACACCTATGTGACAGGGAAGATGCTGCTCAGAGTTTGAAAACATGCTCGTCAGGAACGCCAGTCATAAGCATGTAAGATTAATTAGGTAGTTTTCTTTCAGAGTATATTTAATAATAGGGTGATTCTGTTGTCTGTTCACTTATTACTTTCCCATCTCCCCTTTTCTCTGTCCCCTACTGGTAATCACTGGTTTGTTCTCTATATCTGTGAGTCTGTTTCTTTTTTGTTACATTCACTGGTTTTGTTGTTTAGAGTTCACATGTAAGTGACAATGTACAATATTTGTTTTTCTCTCTCTGACTTGTTGCACTAAGCATAATACCCTCCAAGTCCATCTATCCCTGTTTTGCAGATGGTTCCAGTCTTTTGTATGGCTGAATAGTATTTGCGCACACACCCCTTTCTAGCTGTTCATCTGTTGATGGTCACTTAGGATGCTTCCATATCTTGGCAGTTGTAAATAATGTTGGTATGAATATTGAGTGGTTTAGTCGCTAAGTTGTGTCCAACTCTTTGTGACCTCATGAACTGTAGCCCACCCACAGGCTCCTCTGTCCATGGGATTTCCCAGTCAAGAAGACTGGAGTGGGTTGCCACTTCTCCAGGGGATCTTCCCCACCCAGGGATTGAACCTGGATTCCCTGCATTGCATTCAGATTCTTTACCAACTGAGCCACCAGGGAAGGCCCATGTATATTTTCTAATTAGTGTTTTCATTTTCTTCAGCTAGCTATGCAGAAGTGGAATTGAGCCACAGAGCACTCTTCCAGAGAAAGAAGACAAAATCAGATCAAAATAGGATATCCTGAGCTGACTTTAGAAAGATTTTTGATAGTCATTGTTATATGGCATTTTTATAGTGGCTATAAGTTCCACAATGTCTTAAAGACCAAAAAGCATACTTTTTCTTTTGATAATTTTATGGAAATCATATTTTCATAGGTTTAACGTGTAGCCCTCAAGAACCAATATTCCTGCTCCACGGAATCCTGTCTGCAGTGACAGCTGTTTCTGGAGTACCTCCGAGATGAAGGTGCTGGGCATGACCACAGTTCTGGGCCCTAGGCCTCCACAGGAGCAGGGGCCTGTGATTGTGAAGATTGAGGAGGAGGAAGAGAAAGGGAAGCGCCTTCCCATGGAGATATTCCGCCAGCGCTTCAGGCAGTTTGGGTACCACGACACCCCTGGCCCCCGGGAGGCACTCAGCCAGCTCCGGGTGCTCTGCTGCGAGTGGCTGCGGCCCGAGATCCACACAAAGGAGCAGATCCTGGAGCTGCTGGTGCTCGAGCAGTTCCTGACCATCCTGCCCCAGGAGCTCCAGGCCTGGGTGCAGGAGCACTGCCCTGAGAGCGCCGAAGAGGCCGTCACTCTCTTGGAGGATCTGGAACGGGAGCTGGATGAGCCGGCACCTCAGGTAGACTGGGGCGCCCTCCTCTCCTGCGAGATTGAGAGCCCAGCGGATCAGGCAGGGGTGGGTGTGTCCACACGCTGAGAGTGGCTGACAGGACCTTCCACCGACTTAGGCTGTCTTTCCTGCTGGTTTTCTTCTGTTATCCTGTGTGGAGTTCAGGGATTACCCTTGGGAGTTGAATGGAATGGAAGTTCTCTTTCCTAGAGGTTCTACATAGCTGTTCTGAGATTTTCTTTCATTCTGGTTCTTAAAGTGAGCTGTGCACAGAACTAGCCTTTCGTAATTGTCTCTAGGCTTCCCCACCTCCCCGTGAGCAGAAACGGTCATGGGAGAAGATGGCACCCTCAGGAGCGGCAGAGGAGTCCCTGAGCAGCCCGCAGCTAGAGTCTGTGGAGACCAGTCACAGATACGAGTCTTGGGGGCCCCTCTACATCCAAGAGACTGGTGAAGAGGAGAAGTTCACTCCAGCGCTGAGGAAGGTTCGAGGTAGGACCATCTCTCAGGCACCTGCTTGGTGCCCCAGGCCTTTGTGGTGGAGGAAACAGTCACCCCAATTCCTGATTGTCAGGCGGTCCCCTGAGCTGACGAGGCAGAATGAGTTCCTTTCTTCCCTCAGGTGTGTCTCAGTCTTGGCGTGGGAACAAATGACACACTCTTGAAGGGAGAGCTGAAGTTTGATAAGGGGACTGTTCACGGAGGTGAGGGCAGGTTGAATGAACTGATAAGAGATGGTGCTGGTTCATTTGTTCATGACTTAGTGGCCCTGCTATTACCAGTTTTCAGTGTGGATTTCTCTTTTTCTCCTTTTATGTGTGTGGATGGTTAGGTGGACTTTTAAGAGGTATGACTGCCTAGTGAAACGGTCTAAAAAAGCTTAACGACTTCAGTCAGATTTCAACAGTTGCTTTATAACTAGAGAATGACAGGACACATGTATTGATAGTTTAAATGATGAGAGTTAAACCCTCATAGGAGTTAAGTACTGTCATTCAGATTACTAAGGATCTGGGATTAGAATGATTTTAAATGGACCAAACGTTCTCTTTTATTGCTGTTAAATACATTCAGCTTCTGTGAGAATCTGGATTTTGTGAGTTTGCCACTAGCCACCTTGCCCTTAAATATCCTTTTTATTTTCTGTTACCAACTTTGACGCTTCCACAATCTTTCTTATTTCTTTCTGCCTGAGCATCACCCAGCTGCTTTGCTGCTGTCTTAGTATGCTTAGTTTTGCCTGAAGTTTTGCCTCATTTCCCTCTTGTATAGCATGAAGTTCTCCCGGCAGACAGCGCTGTGTACTCCTCATACCATGATAGCTTCTGGTAGGGGCTTGCGTGAAAGTCTGGCATTGTAAACTAGATCTGATAATGCCCTGTTTGTCTTAAACGTGATACTGTGACTTTATAGAGTGGTATTTGGTTACCCCTTAGAATCCATCAGTGTTACCTGATGGTTCTGTTTCTCATTTAATGGTTTTTTCCTCATGATAGGAAGCAACTGACATGTCCTTATCCTGCTTACTGTTTCAGATCGTAAGTCGAAGACCCAGAATGAGAAATCAACAGATAAGGAGGGAAGTTCTGAAGAATCTCATGCAGAAGGATTCAGAAGGGATACACTTCCCATGATTATCGCCGATAAATGTGAGGCCAGGTTAGAAAGGCAGTGGGTAAATCCAGAAAAGGAAAGAGGAACAAAAACCCCTCTCCAAGACAAAGGTTCTGCTAAAGGTAGAGAAGTAGTGACTAAACCCGCCCCAGGAGAGAGACGTTATATATGTGCTGAGTGTGGGAAGGCCTTTAGTAATAGCTCCAACCTCACTAAACACCGGAGAACACACACTGGGGAGAAACCATATGTGTGCACCAAATGTGGGAAGGCTTTCAGCCACAGCTCCAACCTGACCCTTCACTACAGAACACACCTGGTGGACCGGCCCTATGACTGTAAGTGTGGGAAAGCCTTCGGTCAGAGCTCAGACCTCCTTAAGCACCAGCGAATGCACACTGAAGAGGCCCCTTACCAGTGTAAAGATTGCGGCAAAGCCTTCAGTGGCAAAGGCAGCCTCATTCGCCACTACCGAATACACACCGGGGAGAAGCCCTATCAGTGTAATGAGTGTGGGAAGAGCTTTAGTCAGCACGCGGGTCTTAGTTCTCACCAGAGACTCCATACTGGAGAGAAGCCGTATAAGTGCAAGGAGTGTGGGAAAGCCTTCAACCACAGCTCCAATTTTAATAAGCACCATAGAATCCATACTGGGGAAAAGCCCTATTGGTGTAGTGATTGTGGGAAGACCTTCTGTAGTAAGTCCAATCTTTCTAAACATCAGAAAGTCCACACTGCAGAGGGAGAAGGGTCTTAACTGTCGGGTATGATCTCTTGGTGGTTTTTGTTTTTCTAACTTTAGAACGTGAATGCTAGAGACAGCCCAATAATTGCAGAGTTAACTATGGAGTAGATTTTGTTTGTTTGACTCAATGTCAAGGGGATGGAGTGAGAGCTCAGGCGGGGACAGGGTGGGTTCCTCACCTGCCCACCAAGTCACCGGGGCAGGGTCCCCTCACCACACTTCACATCCCGTACACCATGCCGGCATTGCCTTCTATATAGTTACACTGCTTTGTGTCCAGTATAAGCAAAGAAAAAGCGTTAGAACTGTTTAGCTGTTTTAGTATATACTCAAGATTATGACTTGTAAAGAAATGAGCCATGTTGAACACAGTTTAATCTGATTCAGAATAAACTTAAAAGTTCTTGTAATGCCTCAGGACTGTTATTGTTTTAAAAAAAATTGTTAATCAACCCTATTCTAGAAAGAAAGCTTCCTACTGGTTTTGCTTTTGGAATATTTGGATTTGGGGTAAATGGAACTTTTGAGTACTTGCGAATGTGTTAGGAAACTGCGGCCAGGTGTGTAGAGCAGCTGCAGCTTGGTCTTCGTTGTGCTTTTCCTACATACGGAACACTTTTTTTTTGGTCTTTGGGAACATTCTGTCAGCCTCACATGCTTTTTGGTCTTGTGTACTCTGTCTGCCAAAGTCTGAAAATCTTGACTTCTTGAGACACTTTCTTCTAGTTCCAGAAGCCAGTAATCCAGAGTATGATTTTACCTTAAATCGACCTTGTCTTTTCCCTCTGACTGCAGACTCTTTGGTTTCAGGTGTGGCTTTGGCCAGTTGGTCCTCCTGTTACTTGGAAACCCCACTTCACTCTTTCCTCCTATCGGTTGCTTACCTTTGTGAGGTTTTTTTTCCATTTCTTATTGGTAGTCACTGAAATATCTCTGCTGCTGCAGCCCTATCGGTCTTGCAAACCTGACATGCCAGAATTGAGGACAGCAAGAAAGTGTCATGTCTAGTACCAGTTCTGATCGCAGGAAACTGCCTCATGTGCCATCCTGGAATCAGATTAAACTACAGGTAATGAGTTCCTGCACCAGCCAAATATGTTAGGGCGGGAGGTGGGGGAGTCATTACTGAAAGCGATTCAGCAGTGCTTGGATATGAACAGATCCTCACGGAGGCCCACAGAATTTAGTGATTAGGTGGCAGCTGGGTGTCTTTCCAGCCCCCACTGGAGCTCCTGGTCCAGATCAGGGACAATAGGAACCTGCAAGTCCAGACTTGCATCTCATCCTCTGGTGAGAAGGGCCTGGACCCCAGGTCGTTCCAGTCCCTTATTGTCCTAACTGCAGTGGTCCTTTCTGATGGGCGTTGATGTGAGACAAAGGTCCAAACACTTCTTCAGCTCCCGTGAGTCCATCCGCTGAAATCTTCCTCTGATCTCTGTTTCAGATTTTCAGCCTTATTCTTTGCAGACCCATTGTCTAGCCAAGCCACAGCCCAGGAGACACTTCTCCTTCCATGAAAAGTTGGTGCTCAGTACACAGCTCACAGCTCTGCACACCAGTTTCCCCTCTAGCTTTTAGGGCCACTCCTGAGCAGAGCCATGTGAATCAGCACATTTTTGGTTCACACATCAAAATACTGAGCTGAACCCTCTGTGAGACAGAAACCCTACTTGTTTCTTCCACCACATCAAAGGGAAATGAAGCCATAGGTGTGAGCAGAGAGACATCAGTTCAGCAAAGGTAAAGGACAGTGGGGGTGTGAGTCTCCTGCTTACCACCTTGTAACTTATGGGCCTGCTCAGATTGTCTCGTGACTACATTCATATTTGTCATTAATCACAATATTGCAGTCTGTATGTATTGGGGACAGATTTTGAGGAGAACGGGCTTTAATCTTAAGAGGCACCAGAGTCAGGTGGGATCTTTGCATGGTCTTCAGGCAAAATGAGGCTCTTCTCCTGCATCAAGGGGGAAGGGAGGTGCTTTTGTTAGGCCAGAGGGCTCAAGGGAATTTAGGGTTCCAGGTGATAAAGCACTGCTACCAAAATGTCTCGGATACTAGGACCCCAATCAGGGCCTGGAATTTTGGCCTCAGTGACTAGGTGAGGCTTTTCATTAGCCACCTTTGCAGCTCTGCCACCTTTACAACTAAATCCTGCACCTGATTTTCAGAGCAGCCTGCCTTCACTGCAGAAGGTGCGCCCTTAAACATTACCCAGAGGACTTCTGGCTGTCACAACCTGCCCTCAATAGATAGTTGACTGACCCGAGTCTATTGTTTCCTTTCTTCAAAGCTTGAGAGAAGGAAACTGCAGCGCTTATAACCGCTCCCGTCCCAGTAACATGCAGGTCCCAGAACCACGGCCTAAACTGATGCTCCCCCTGGTACCTGCACCTCATCTCTCATCAGAACAAGTGAGTGGTAGTGACTGTCGTGGGGTAGGATGCCAGCGGTTACCACCACTGAGTTTATCACCAGTCTCTCTTTTTTTTAACCACCTGTTCCAGAATCCTATCCTGAGGACTCAGTTTCTAGGGCCACTTCCAGTACCAACTGTCAGAGTTTGGATTTCCCCTAAAACAGAGCCCAGGAAAAGGGCTTGGGGGTGGAAAGTTTATCTAGGGGAAGTGAGGAAGCAGGAGAGAGAGAGGAGGGGGTCTAATGGATGCAGCATTGAGCTGGTAATGGTGTCGGCAACCAGTGCTCAGGTCTGCTGGGGACCTTCAGAGACGGGGAAGACCACTGGTCTCCCTGAGCTCTGCTCAGCCCCAGTGCCCACCTCCACAGTTAGGAGGCCAGTGCCTCCTCGGGTCCAGGAGAGTGGCTGAGGACTCCTGGTGGGCTGGGAGGGTCACTGTCCTGGGGACTGTGAGGCTGGCTTGCTTTGAAGATGCTTGTGAGTGTGCTTGTGAGTGTTGCCTTGTGCTTCGCACACACACACATTCGTATGCACACATACACAGGACCCCTGGCCAGGCTGCCAGGATTAGCAAATAAAAGCACATTTGGATTCCATGTAAACAGTATATTTGGAACATACTTACACTGAAAAAACTATTCAGTGTCTGAAATTAGGGTTAGAGTATCTGGGCATCTTATCCGGCAGTCCTACTCCCAGGATGTGTGAGCAGCGAAGCCTCCACTCTCTGTCCAACCTACTACAGATACCAAAAGCATAAGGGAGCAAAGAAGAAAGAAACAACATCATCAAAGTGCTTCAAGGGACACGTTCAAAGTGAAAGGACCACCCACAGAACAGTAGAACATTTTTACAAATCGTGTATATGTGATAAGGCACTTTTATATTGAATATATTTACATCTGAGTAATAAAAAGACAACCAGTTGAAGATAGGAAAAGGACAGAGATAAACCTGTGGACAATAAGTTGATGGAAAGGAAAGGTGCTCAAGGTAGCCATAAGAAAAAGGCAAATCCAAACCACGATGAAACCACATCATACCGACTAGGATGGCTGTAATGGAAAAGATAACATCAAATGTTGTTGAGGATGCAGAGAAGTCAAGCTTATACCCTGCCAGTGAGAATGTAAAATGCAACAACCACTTTGGAAGCCAGTCTGGCATTTCCTCATTAAATGCAGCATTTGACTGAAATTCCTACCCTCGATACATACCCAAGAGAAATGTAAACATATCCACACAAAAACCTGTACACGAATGTTCAACATTATTCATAATAGCCAAAAAGAAGAAAAAGCCCAAATGTTTCCATCAGTGGGTGAAAGAAAAAAAAAAGGGGGTTATCCATAGAATAGAATATTATTTAGCCATAAAATGGATGATGTATAGATTCACACTGCAACATACATAGGTGAAATGACATCATTATACTAACTGAAAGAAACTTAGACACGAAAAGCCACATATTGTACAATTATGATACCAGTTTACATGAAATGTCTAGAATAGGCAAGTCCATGGAGACAGAAAGTAGACTGGTAGTTGTCTAGGGCTGGGGGAATTGGAGGGAAGTGAGGAGTAACTGCTAAAGGGTGCAGAATTTCTTTTTAGGATGATACGTCAAATTGTGATGACTGGTTACACAACTCTGGATACTAAAGACCACTGGATATGGTGATGAATTACATCTCAATAAAGTTGTTTTTAAAAAACACACAAGCACCTTCCTTGTCGCCTATTCGGCAGAGGTACTCGGCCTTCGCAAGACATATGACAAAACTGTGGCGCTGGGTCACCGACTGGATATTGTGTTCTATCTCCTGAGAATTGGCTTATTTTACATGGATAATGACCTCATCACTCGAAATACAGAAAAGGCCAAAAGCTTGATAGAGGAAGGAGGAGATTGGGACCGGAGGAACCGCCTAAAAGTATATCAAGGTCTTTATTGTGTAGCTATTCGTGATTTCAAACAGGCAGCTGAACTCTTCCTTGATACAGTTTCGACATTTACGTCCTATGAACTCATGGATTATAAAACCTTTGTGACTTACACTGTCTATGTCAGCATGATTGCCTTAGAAAGACCGGATCTCAGGGAAAAGGTAATTAAAGGAGCAGAGATTCTTGAAGTGTTGCACAGTCTTCCAGCTGTTCGCCAGTATCTGTTTTCACTCTACGAATGCCGTTACTCTGTTTTCTTCCAGTCATTCGCTGTTGTGGAACAGGAAATGAAAAAGGACTGGCTTTTCGCACCTCATTATCGGTACTACGTGCGAGAGATGCGAATCCACGCGTACAGTCAGCTGCTGGAGCCCTACCGGTCGCTAACCCTGGGCTACATGGCAGAAGCGTTTGGTGTTGGTGTGGAGCTCATTGATCAGGAACTCTCCAGGTTTATTGCTGCTGGGAGGCTACACTGCAAAACAGATAAAGTGAATGAAATAGTGGAAACCAACAGACCTGATAGCAAGAACTGGCAGTACCAAGAAACTATCAAGAAAGGAGATCTGCTATTAAACAGAGTTCAGAAACTTTCTAGAGTAATTAATATGTAAAACCAAATACACAAAGGATTTTCTTTAAAAATCCTTATTGAGAATTTTTATAGCTTACTTTGTGCCCAGTTGAACTGTGTAAAAAATAAATAGTGCATTGTTTCTTTCAAAAAAAAAAAAACACACAAGCTCAAGCAAATGAACAAAGGCTTTGCCAAGTGGCCAGCCTTGGTGGAGCAATGGAGGATTCACGCCATGGAGACCAGTGGATGCCCACGTAGGCTGCTGCTTAGTAGAAGATGTGCCGGGCCAGGGACTCAAATGTGAAAAGAGGAAAGATTCACACCAGCAGTTAATCCTTGCCTGTAATATCTAGGGAAATTTTCTGTTCATTTCAACTGGAATCAAGGACCAAGAAACTCTGTGTGGAAAAAAAACCCCTCCCATCTGCTAGTCGACTTTCAGAGCACCCCCCTTCCTAGACAGCAGCGCCCTCACTGTTCCGAGCATGTGGCAAACACAGCCCTCCGCAAGAGCCCTTTGCAGCTGCTGTCCTTGTGCTTGTAGTGCTTTCCCCCAGGTGTGAACATACTGGGAATTCAGCAACCTGGAGAGGAGGGCAGGACACTGCAAACGGAACGGTACCACAGAGACACGGTGGTGGGAGTCAGTGGCAAGCTCATGGGAAAGGGGCTGGGGGGTCCTGGGGAGGCTGGTGAGCAGAGAGGCCTCTGATGGCGGTTGTGGAGTCAGTGGTGAAATCTGACAGGACAGAGTGACAGTCCCTGAACAGTAAAGAAAATGGAGTGGGGTTATCCCAGAGGATCGTTCAGCTGGTGAAGTTCGGTGTTTCTATGGTGTAATTAGAGCAGATACAAATCTCTGAGAACTTCTATGTTTAATTCAGGGTACAAGACAGGTAACATAAGTAGCTTTATGAGCAATTTTTTGGGGGTCACTTGCTACTCCATGAGTCTGCTGATGCATCAGCCTCTTCCTGCTAAAGAGACCACCTGAACTTCCTTTTCATTGGAACTTTTCGTCTGGAGTCCACACTGTGATAAGGCAGACCAGGAGGGAAGAGGACGGCAGTGGTGTTTCACAGTCTGGACAGTTTTGTCTTGATGATGTCTGCCTGCCCCCAGCCTAAGTGTTGTCCCACACACAGAGTGCCACACAGCACAGAAGGTCCCGCACGTGGGCATGATGGTGACGGTGACTGTAATGTTGACATGGTCTGGGGTGGTATCCAGGGGAACATGATGGAGTCTTGAGGGAAGGAGAAATCACACCCTTAGTAACACTAAAAAAGGAACAGTTACCTGTATTTACTGACCCCTGTTCTCAATTCAGCTTTAATGCCATTTGCTCACTGAAGCTTTTTGTGCTAGCCACGTGCTCTGTCCATGTGGACATCAGCTGGCTGGCTTCCTGTGATTCCCCGTTTCATTTGCAGAGACAACACTGCGGTGTAACGAAGAGCCCGAGCTCCAGAGCCAGACTGCCTGGGTTTGAACGCCTGTGCCACTGCTTACTATCTCTATCGTGTATCAGGTTCTCATCTGTAAAAAGAGGGGTGTTAATATGACTAACAGCACATATGATCGTGTGAAGATAATGCTGACTTTCCTGTCCATGCTGGCGCATAGATGGTCAGTAAAGATACCCTATCATGATGGTTACTGACCTCTCCTGGGGCCTCTGGCTCCCATTAGGCTAGCGCCCTCTTAGTGCAGAAGCCCTGGGTGGTTCATCTCTGTATCCCCCACGGCACTCACTCAGTTGTTGGCGAAGAGCTTCAAGGATCAGTGGCAAGAGATCTGGGGAGACTGTAATGAGTGTCTCTGAGTCTCCCTGCGCCGTCTATTGTGCCCGGAGAACTCCCCTCCCTCCTCTCCTTCCTTTCTTCTTTCCTGAAGAAAAGGGAATAAAAACGGGACAGTAATAGTACCCACCTCGCAGGCTGGCTACAAAGATTAAATGAGTTATCAGGTAAAGCACTTAGAACAATGCCTGATGCACAGTGCCTACGACATGGCTGGTACTCCTTGCTACCTTTATTTTCCCTTTTTCTTGGTGTATATTTTTTCTGATTATGAACGCCATACTTATTTGTGGTGGCAAAGTGTGAAAATGTAGGAAAAACCCCATCAGAGTGAAGGAGACAGAGGTTTGCACAAATAAGAAGACAGAGGAGGAAAGATGAGCACAATCATGAGCGTGTGTACAAGGTGCAGAGGCCGCTGGAGGAAATGGTGGACCTGGTGGGGATGGAAGGTGGCGTCCACCAGGCCCCGGGAAGGCTCCACAGACTAGGGGAAGGTTACGGAGGAGGAGGTGAGCGGATGAGGGGGAAGGCCATTAGCATGTGCAAAGGCCCAAGGCACTGAATGCCATCCTGGCGCTGTCACTGCCGTTCTGCGTAGCCGAGTGCTGGAGCGCTCGGGAGAGTGGAAAGGGCCGGGAAGTGAGAAGCCCCCGTCAGGAGGAAGGATGGAAAGCTTGGAGGTGCCATCATCCAATCAGCCTTTAGGAGAGATGACTCCGGCACATGCAGGACCAGTGGGCTGGAGGAGACTTCGGGAGCAAAGAGACCTGCTGTTAAGGCTGGGGCCGAAGTCCGGAACAAGTTAAAGATGGCCTCGGCCGCTGCGGAGGCACCCCCGGAATGGGCCAGACAGGATGGGCTGGAGACATGGAGGGAGCTGATGTGGGGAGGAAAACCCGCGCAGCCAGGACGACGCCCGGGCTCGGGGCTTGACAGGGGAGTTGGCGTCGGCAGCTTTGCCAAAGCGAGGGAAACCGTGCTCGTGGAGGGAGGTGCTGCGAGTCTCCTGTCATTCCCAAGAAACCACGCTGGCGACCGTATTTACCTGTGTGTACAGATGATAGTCCATGGTAATTTTTATTCATTAAAAAACCCTTCAGTTCTTCATTATTAACATATTTAAAATAATGCACCTGACTGCTTTTTTAAAGTGGAAAAAAAACTTAAACTCTATAAACAATTTGTTATTCAGTCACTAAATCATGTCTGACTATTTGAGACCCCATGGACTGCAGCACGCCAGGCTTCCCTGTCCTTCACTGTCACCCGGAGTTTGCTCAAATTCATGTCCATCCAGTCAGTGATACTATCTAACCATCTCATCCTTTGCTGCCCTCTTCTTTTGCTTTCAGTCTTCCCCAGCATCAGGGTCTTTTCCAATGAGTCGGTTCTTCACATCAGGTGGCCAAAGTATTGGAGCTTCAGCTTCAGCATCAGTCCTTCCAATGAATATTCAGGGCTCATTTCCTTCAGGATGGACTGGTTTGATTTCCTTGAAAAAGAAAAAAGAAAGAGTCTTTGGGGAGCTTTTAAAGACAATCTTTTAATCAGGAACAGTTTGCTAAGATGTTCTTTTCGGTTCACACTCCTGCCAGCTGTCATGTTCAGGTAAAACCAGGCTTTTCCCTTACTTGGAAACTGAACACAGAATATTCTCTCAGAGTTATTTCAGTTGGAGCTCAAAGGACAGGTGTGACTTAGGGTGGGCAGGAAGCATCAGGGATGAAATTGCTTTGTTATTTTTGTTATGACTGATGATGTCCTTGTGAATCACTCACAGGTGAGAAGGCAGAGCTAAGGGTAGAAAGCAGGAGCGTACGAGGGGGCGGCACTCAGCACAACTTAAGGTCCAGTGATTTTGCCTGGGGCAGCAGCCAGCCTCCCATCCCTGCACACAGCACCACGGAGGCTAGAGAGCCTGCTGCCAGGGGATACTGCCCACAGTGTCTGCACCAAGCCGAGGTTGAAGATGCTTTCCAAGGCCCTCCTGGATTCTAATTCTCATTGGCTGAAGGTAGGGAGCTGGAGCAGGATGCAGGAACCTCACGGGAGTGAACGTAGGGTGTGTTTGGGGCTCATTACCATACTGCTATTTGATGCGACAGACTTTTTGCTTGAGCAAACCTTAGACTTCCAAACCTTTTCTTAGGCCCCCTCTGTGCTCTTCCTTGTAAAATCTAGTTTTAGCGAGTCCCCCGTCCTTCACATCTGAACCCCCTTAATATCTAGTCATCCTGCACCATCACCCCAGGGAGATGTCCAACCACCCTGCCCTTTCTCCAGCAAGAATCCTAAGTCAGTTTAGCCAAACCCCTCTGACCCCTAAAGCTTCCCCTTAGGAAGTTCCCATCCACTGACCCCCCTCCCTGCTCCTTAGCTATAAATCCCCACGTGGCCATACAAAAACCAGTTGGGAAAGGGTCAGGAAGAGTATATGCCACGTGTCTGCTTCTATTAAGACCTTCACTTGGAAATCCCCCCGCCTCCATGACCTCAATTCTAAAACCTTCCCCTGTGACAGCAATCCATCCTTCCTGCTCAGGACTTTCCTGCTCAGCATCTGACTGATGCTGGTCAGATGTAGGAGGATGAGAATAATTACTTTTAAAAATTTTTTATTTGATTTTTGGTTGCACTGGGTCTTTGTTTCTGCTCTTAGGCTTTCGTGGAGGTGAGCATGGGCTGCTCTCTAGCTTCCTGGCGCACAGGCTTCTCAGGGAAGTGGTTTCTCTTGTTGCAGAGCATGGGTTATAGGGTGAGGGCTCAGCAGTTGGGGAGCGCAGGCTTAGTTTCCCTGTGGCATGTGGTATCTTAGTTCCCAGGGACTGAACCCGTGTCCCCTGCATTGGCAGACGGATTCTTAACCACGGGACCACCAGAGAAGTCCACCTCAGACCTTCTGACCTTGAGCAGTTTATAGAAATTCTGAGAGGGGGCAGTTTATGGGGGGGGGGGGGAATGTATCTGGTTTGAAAGAAACAATTTGAAACTTTCAAAAGGCCCAAAGGTAAATGCCCCACCACCTGATGAGACCAGAGACTGGAGCTTGGGAGAGATCAGGACCAAGTATGCAGATGTAAACATTAATTGAAGCTAATAGTTGAGGTCATCAGAGTAAATGGGTTCCCGGGGTTAACAGCATAGGCATAGAAAGAGACCACCGATACCGTGACTGAACACTGAGGAATGCCCAGCCAGGGACAGAAAAGAGGAATCAGGAGAAAGGGATGAATCATTAGGACACTCAAGTGAATCAAATGTTATAGCTATTGCAAAGGTATTTTTTTAATGTATTTTTCACACAGTGGCCCTGCCGAGTCTCAGGTCCCCCTGAGCAGCTCTGAGGAGTGACG